AAAAAACGACACATACCTTTTTTTTCTATGCAATCTTCACAATCAAATCGTCTCATCGCTAGCGTAAACCATCCCTTGATCTTGTTGTGCAGCAGTCACTTCTCCAATTGCCACTTGCCTGACCGCATTCCTCGGATTCACCGCAGAGAAGTGCGGCCTTTGTTTGGAAGCTGCATGCCGTCAGTGCTGGCTTTGGTGGCGCACAGGTGTGGAGGGTTTAATTGAGAAACTCTACGAGTTAAGTTGGATGCGAGCCCCGTGTTTTCTTTTTAATAGTTTTGGGGGTCCCTCAATGTTTATTATATTATTTTCCTTTTCTGTTTTTCCACCAACCGTGCCCAATGTCACACAATCCATTGCGATTCACACCGGTTATTTAACTCCTCGTTTGTACGTGTTTATATACGAGTTGTGAAGTGCAAATCGAGGTTTAAAAGGACCAAAACTATGTAAATGTCGGTAACCGGAAGTAATATATGACGATATGGCTTGAAAAAACAAATTAACTTTATAAGTTATTAACTTTTGACGTTATCACAGTGATGCAGTGTTGTGCCAACGTCATCATGTTGTTGGAACTTTTGGACCAACGTTGAGCCAAAGTTCCATGTTTACTTGGGATGTTCCCATCGTCACTGAGAAGCAAGCAGATCTGGCTAGTAAATTGGGCAGGTGGGCCTTGACCTAGATTCCCAAGTGCTAAGCTGGCACAGATACGAAGGAGACATCACAGCGATTCACTCCGCTGCTACTGACGCGGCCATCTGGCTTGATCACCTGAAGGTGAAATTGTTGTTGTTGCTCTGCATCTACATTAGCCCCTGTGAAAGAAGAAGAAGAAGAAGCTGCCACACCTGGGGTTGTGTAGCTCCCAGTGAGTGGGCCGTATTAGCTTGCTTTCCTGAGGGAGTTTGCACGCTTTTTACTGGGCTGACCTTGCAAATATGTCACTTCACGGGGTCACCGCAAAAGAGAGACGTCTGCCATCCATGGCATCTCTCACTTCAGTTAACATCGGAACCAAATAGTTTTGTAAAGGTAAAAAAAGTTAGTTTTTTTTTTTACAATAACGATAGATGTACGCTTGGAATAGTGTAACATTTCCCAAGCATGAGGGACAACCTTGTCTCCTGATTGCTTCACTCAAGCCTGTGAAGGAAGGGATGAGGAATGAGATGGGGTAACAGCGTGGAAGAGGCTGCAACCACATAATTTTTCAGTTCTTGTCGCATTGGGATAAAAGTTGAGCAGTGCAGAGTCATTCCCGGGGTCAGCTCTCTCCGATGGTTGGAGAAACGTAGTGTGTATACAAGTTGCTCATTGTCTCAGTATTTTTGTGTTGATTTTTATCTTCCCCATTGCTGTACTTTAGTTGGTTGTATTAGTTGGCGTTAGTCGTTATGTTGACTTCGGTTATACCTGCAAATGATACGCTGTTTTGGTCTCTTGAGTTTTCACTTCATTAAATAGGTTACGCTTACAACTTGAAAGTGACGGAGTCTGGAGACGAAGCCCTTGCTTTTTTCATTCTCATTGATTATCTGGGATCAGCATTCATCATACAACCTCTCCTGCCTTGTAAAATAACTCTTATGGTAGTTTTGCCCCACAATATACTTGCAAGAGATCAGCATTGCTAAGAGTGTTGGGAGATCAGACATGGTAAGCACATTTAATGATTTCCCAATTGTGTTTTTTTTTGCAGAATATTTAAGCGCGACATTTACATTTATGAGTTATTTTAGAGTCTGGAATTTGCTGTGATGTTTATAAAACTTTGGCCATTGTATTCCTTGGGCTCAATAGCAACTGAGCTTGCATGTTAAAAATTCACAATGCTTGTGTAGTGGGTACAAACTTGTAGGAGACTTCCTCTTGGAGGCAACACGTTTATTAACAGTAAACGCAATAGCAGTTGTTCCTGACACAAAGGGGGGTATGGCCCCTTCTACCCGATATCCGGCCAGCGTGGTCCTATTCCCCCATGGGCTTGAGTTCTTCGAGTGGGCGACAACTGCCGGTCCCTTTGAGAGGACCGGCTTTTATACCCGAGTGTGGGCTCACTCCGCCCCTAGCCGGGGTCCACCCCTCTGGTCACGAGATACCCAGGGGGGGGGGGGGGGGGGGTTACTTTGGCTTAACTGCCACTCAACCTACAGGCTAACTTTCACGTAGCGCTTGAATAATAGGAACAAGTTGGACTTCGAGACACTAATTTTTCATCTGAGCCTTAATAACATAAACCAAGGGTTGTGTGATATTTACAGACTAGCTGCATGTACCCCAGTGGTGCAAAACATCACTCGAGGGCCCAAGTGACTCTCTTTGAGGAATGGTAATGGGCTCAATCCTTCCACTTGCTGTCAAATGAAGGCATTGATTGTGGATTGCTGGTGTCCTTTCGAAAGTGGATTAGTGTTGAATTAGATCAGGGGTGGGGAACCTTTTTTCTGCCAAGGGCCATTTGGATATTTATAACATCATTCGCGGGTCATACAAAATTGTCAACTTAAAAATTATCCTGTTATATTTGGTCAAACATTTAATTAACTCACCCCTAATGTGATGGCTGTAACTGCTTCTCTTTGGCGAGGCGTGTGATGATGTTAGCTGGTATTGATGATGTTGCTACTCGCAACTGCTTTTCCAGGTTTGCTCCTAGATTTATTGAATTTCGAGTCCTGCCTGCGGTTGCCTTGGCAGGGCCAGACCAAGTGATTTCGCGGGGCTTATACGGCCCGCGGGCCGGACGTTCCCCACCCTGCATTAGATCAAAAGCATTGACACCAACGTGATAAGGTTTACATTAAACCGCGATGGATGGAGTGTGGATTTGGCTGCTGATGAAGATGGTTATGGTGTTGATGGTAAAGTCAACGTTGGAATGTTTAGGATGTAGCCGTGTTAAGGAATCTAACAGTGCACTGGGATTACTTTGACCAAAATCAACTTATTTGTGAGCCAATCAGCAGGGTGCAACATTGGTACCCATTGCGAATTGAAATATCCAATGAATGGAAACTTCATTTCTTCTATCTAAACAGAAAAGTTACGGTACGTGTCGGCCGTGTCTGCGGCAGACTGTTGAGCTGTGACATTGAAAGGTTTTCGGGGTTCTGTGGAACTCTTTGTCTTTCCTTCGCTAGCCTGACGAGGTTAACAAATTGGGCCTTTCTGAGGCCAAGCCCTTGGGCCATGGTGTGAAGACACGGGGATGAATTAAACTCCACTTTGATTAGTGAACCACGCCAACCCAAGTTCCCCTGAGTGCCCGTGGCAGGTGTGTCCAATACGGCGTAATTGAACGATTGATAGTTTTCACATCCTTGGCCAGCTCATATTGGCCATCGAGTGCAGACTTAACTGTTCTCTCGCGTTGTACGTTGCAAATTGAAAAAAAATATTGCCACCACCCCACTTTGCTCTAGCCCTTTATCTAACAGATGTGTGAAAAATTACAGAAGAATTGTGATTGTGATGATCATAAACAGATCAGTTAACTAATGCAATTTTTTTGGATATAGGTGCCTTTGCAAATAAGTCTTATGATGGCTATGTCAGCCATTTTACAAATGGTCACCGATTGCCATGAGTGAGCATCTGTGTATGATATATTGGTGTTATGTTTAATAAAAATCGGTACCTTTAAATATAATAATATTTACTGTTCTGTAAAGAATCGCAATGATCACTCAAACTCTCACGACTACTCGGGGCTCAGTGGCTTGTGGCATTTTACTAAAAACTAAACTTTGTTTAAATGTTGCCAGATACGGTCCACTTGAGCTATATCGCTCTTTTTCAGAAGCGACCTGGCCACAAATGATAGCTCAACAAAGGGGCTCTTGATGTGGAAATTGATAGCTGCCAAATACTCTATACGCATATTTCTAAATGTGGAGGGAAAAACCGGAAGGACCTGTAGAAAGATCCACGGGACCACGGAGAGAGAGCGAGAGCGCATGCAAACTGCAGATATACAGCAAGCGTCAGGGCCAGGATAGAACCCACGATCTCCTGTACACCAGGCGAGGTAGTTAATATCTCGCCACCGTGGTGCCCCTTTTGTACACACCGTCTAGCCAGGAGGGGAGGTGGGGGGCGGGGTAGTTGGGGGAGCACTCTGTTCACTCCCGACGATGTTGTCAAATTCGCCTGTCTCTTCTCATTCATCGCGAAGCATCAACGCGGCACACCCTGGCCTGTGCTGAATTTAGATCGTCCGATTTTGGGTGCGCACTACAGGCAGACCTGCTGCTGCTACTGCCGCCGCTACCGGCTGCTTTAACCCATGCCTCGTTTTGGTGAGGGCCCAGTGGCTGTTGTAGATTGGAGGTGGGGGGGGGGGAGGGTGGGGGGGGGGGTGGGCCCCCCCAGTGGGCCCCCCCGGTGGGCCCCCCCCCTCTTTGGATATTGAACTCCTTCCCCTTGACTGTTTTACCACCCTGCTGCCCATGCCGAGCGCCGAACACACCAATATTATTTACTTTGGCTATTTCAGTTACAGCTTTGAAATGTGACGTACAAATTCCAAGGCAAAAGTCAAAGTTCACAGCAAAACCAAAAATATTATTTTCCGGCGCATAATTGGTAGTATTAGGAGTAATGCTAACGAAACTTGCATTTATATTGCACCCATAACATAAGGAAACATCCTGGAACATAGTTTAGTTTAGCTTAAGTGACCCCCCCCCCCTAATGGCAGCTAATGCACATAACGGTGCCGTGGCTTTAATGACCAATTTAGCTGTAGGTTTATCATAATGCTACAGTGCTCTATTACATTTCAACCGTTATATAAAGAACTCTATTTATATATTGTTTTGGGTTTGGGGGGGACGCGCAAAATCTGAAGCCCTGTGCTGCAAACCCACAAAGCCCCTGTCTATGTCTGTATGTTGTACGTATGTTGAACTTCTTTCGCACCGTGCGTAGCCAACCGTGCCCATCGCCGTTTAACCCTGGCCCTGCCTGTGCTGCACCGCCACCGTTGCCCGCAGCTGCTGGGCGTGCTGCTGCTGTGCCTGGGCGCCTACGCGGAGGTGGAGAGACAGCGCTCGCGGACCATGAGCGGCATGTTCCTGGCGCCAGCCATCATCCTGCTGTTGGCGGGATCCGTGCTCTTCGTCGTCTCCTTCCTCGGCTTGCTCGGGGCACTCCGGGACAACTTGACGTTGCTCAAGATCGTGAGAACTCTCCTCCTCCGTCTCCACCGATCTGCTCCCTCTGTGTCGCAATCGTGGCCACAACCCCCACCCCCTATACCCCTCCATCCTTTCCCTCCGAGCCCCAGATCCACGTCCCACAGGTTCCTCTCGCCCCTCGCTGCCCCTTGGGACGTGGCCTGGATTTTTGTAGGTCAGGGAGTCTCTACGATTGGATAATGTCATGCACATCCAGCTGTGTAAGTCTATTTTTACCGGCACTGTTAACAACGAAGGTAGGATTTTTATCTCTCCATTATTTGTGCAGCCATGATGTAATGGTTAGCACACTGGACTTGCATTCCAGAGGTTGTTGGCTCGGCAGTTTGCACAATAGGTCAAGTTATTTAAATACCCCAGCCCTCTGTCCACACGGCAGAATACATGGGCACAGCACAGGCAATCGGCAGGATGCGTGTGGTGGGATAAAGTGTGGGTACTTCCTATAACTTCCAATACGTCTGGCCACCATGACAGAGTAGGCCAAATGCCCTCTCGAGAGGCTGTCCAGAGCTCTCTCTAGTAGAGGCCCTTCTGGAAGCACAGGCATGAGCAGGCAATTGAAGGACTGCACATTTAAATGTTACATTTTTTTCCACGTAAAAAAATAAATAACAATTGTATTCTGTTCACTCAGTAACAATAGTATATATATTTTATATCCAAGGCAACACATTCCTCAGCAGAGTCTCATTGTTTGGAACCAGAATTCTTCTGCTATGTTGCTGCTGCACACAGTGTGAAGGGATGGATGTAGATTGTGGGTAAATTGTGAATGGTGTTTGTTTAGCAAGAGCAGTGGGGTTCGAAAGGTCGACATTCTGAGGTCCCAAGAGGAGTACATTCTGTTTGCTGTTTTCTCAGACAAATATGTTTAAGGTGTGTGTGTGGGTGGATGTCTGTGTGTGGGGAGCGGTCGTGTAGCGGTTAGTGCTACGCTGTGCTATGAACCTGGCGACCCGGGTTCGATTCCCGCTCACGGCCAACACCCAGTGACGATTATCTGAACCGGTCCCGGGTCTCCCCTAGGTCGACTCAGCCTCAAATGAGTACCTGTTGGGGTGTGTAAACATTGCCACTAGGGAGACAAAGGCGGTCGGGCATGGTGCTGGCCACCCACCCCCTCGTGCACCGTTCCGGCCTTCATAGGTGCTGCTCGCTAACAGCACTTGCCCCTATAGTCTGTTAAGGCTACTCGGGGGATCTTTGTCTGTGTGTGGGCGGGGTGGAGGCGGGTGGCGCAACGCGCCAACAACTCCGGCATCCCGAGTTCGATTTCCGCTAGTGGCTAACGATCCCCTAGGTCGACTCGTCCCCAAGTGAGTACCTGGTGCGATGTGTACGGTAATGGCCACCCACCTCCTTGTGTGCCGTGCCAGCCTTCATAGGTGCTCGCGAACAGCACTTGACCCAATGGTCTGTTAAGGCTATACGGAATATGTTTCGTCTTTGTGTGGGGGGCGGAGGTGGTGTTGCACAATGGCACTGATCTCTGAACCTGAACACCTGGTTGTAATTCATGCTATGGATGACATGAGTGAAAAGTTGTAGGTTAACCTCTCCGGAGCCTCCCCTACTTGAAATCAGCCTCATGAGTTACCTGCTGCATATTGCAAATATCAGAACCTGCTGTGGTTCTGGCTACTCCGCCCCTTCTTACATATCGTCAGGTGCTCAATAACTGAACTTGCCCAAGATGTCTGTACGGCTGCACGGGGTATCTTTGCCTTGGTTTTATAAGTATAAATGTGAATGCATGTGTAAGTGCCTACATGTGTCATTGTTCATCCCACACACGCCTTTTCAAGGCTTCCTTTGCACCAAAAAAACATTTGAAAACTCTATTATTGCTTCATTGCAATAATGTGCTGGGATTTTTTTCTGCTGTTGGTAATTTTCCTCATCATCCCTCCATGTCTGTTGAAGCTAGCGACACCCGGGGCTTATTGCTGAGCTCCAGCGAGGCATCCCAGCGAAATCCTGTCTCATCGCTTTACATGGCATTAACAATTTCAAGTGCCGATGCTCGATTTGAACTCTGGCCTCCCGAGTGTTTCTATTCCGTCTCATTTTCCCCGGTAACCCTGATAGTGACTGCACCCACCCACACATGCACGGGGGGCCCATCATTGAACTCAGTGAACACGTTCTATAGCCTTGATCTCCTGCTTTACATGGCATTAACGGTGTCAAATGTTGAATGCTTGATTTGAACTCGCACTGCTAACTTATTTTTTTTTGTCCATTTTCATTTCCCATTCTCCCCGCTCCCCGCCCCCACCCCCACTCCTCTTCTGTTATTGACAGTTCCTGGTTACCATGATACTGGGCCTCATCATTGAGCTCATTGGCGGGATTGTGGCTTTGGTCTTCCGCAACTCGGTAGGTGCGCGAGCCGCGGCTATAATCAGATGTCCCCGTGGGGTCGAGTCGTTTGTTCCCCGCAATGTATTGTGGTTATTAAGTGCGGAAGCCCTGGTTTCGTGGTCGCAGTTGTGAAAGAACCTGAGACGTGGGGGCGGTTACTTCAGCCTGAGATGAGCTCTGGCCGAAGCGGTGCCGTGAGATCCTTTGAGGTCACGGAAAACTTTAACGCCGCCAACTGCAGAAGCGGCCAAGGGTTAAGTGGCCCTTTCGCGGCAATGCTGCGACGCCGCTTATGCGCTCCCAACCAAACGCCCAGTGGCCTGGATTTGAAATGGAAAATCTTTATTTCTCTGACAGAGGTGGGTCACGGCCCAAAAGATAATCCTGGAACCGCCATTAGTGGCTAGCTGGCCTTGGGTGGGGGGGGGGGTAATGCAGCCTTAAAGGAATTAGACGATAAGTTAAGGCTGAATATTAAAGAATGTGTGCAATTAACAGAGTAATCTTGCTCACTCGCAAAGCAAAGCCCATGCTTTTTATCTACTGTCTGTAGCGACGTGTTTCACATTCAAGTGAGCGCTGAATGCTAATAAAAAGAAAACAATTCCCCATATTTACCGAGTTAGTCTTAATGACTCTCAAGACTCTTTTTCATGAGGTTCCTGCAGTTCGCGGGGAGGAAACCCATGATGCATACGAAAGGGGATTTGCGTTCAAATCTCTACAGCGATGGATTTAAGAGTCAATCGCTCAACTGCCATTTCCTGACCACCGTGCAGCCTTGACCACGTTTGCCAACTGTGCTTGTCCCATGCGATGTATTAGCGACAGCGTTTCTGAGCGGACCACTGCCGTTTCACGCGCTAAGCCATAAAAGGCAGATGAATCGGCGAGTTAAAAATACAAGCGGTGTTCTAAATTAGCAGTGCAGCCCACATGTCTTACGAAAATCCATTTCGCTACTACACGAGACACCACCGACTGATGAATCCTCGCTTCTAAGATGTTTTTTTTTAATCTGTACATCAGTTGTAGGACAAGGGAAGATCTTCCCACCCTTTTTTGCTCCGCACAAATTAGCGATGTAAATGGATTAATTGGGGCTCAAGTAGCCATGCTGTAGCAAGCATTTGGGAATGGACACCTCCACACATTGTTTCCAGTCGTGGACAACATCTCAAAGTGTAGAAATTCTCAACATTATCAGCCATGATCAATTCACTGCTGGATGAAGGTTTTCCTAAGTGTCGGCACCATCGCTCTTGGTCTTGCGATGCAGCAATCCATCTTGCACCCGTGTATACATTTATTTCATTGCTCCGTCTCTCCAAGGGACGTCCTCTCAGGTGTGGCCTCTCCTTTGGCTTCCACTCTATTGTTAGTCTCGACCACCGGCCATCAACCCTTCGAGCGACGTGTCCTGCCAAAGCATACGTTAAAATTCATAGGTTCGCTCGCAACACTGAGTAGAAAGTGTGTCGGTGAAACTTTTCTCAGAATTGTCCAATTGATTTGCCTTTGGGCCACCACTTGCCCTGATCATTACATTTTATTTACTGATAATGTAGTTCAGCCAGACCAGCTTTAATTGACAAAGCAACGTCATTTACATAACGTGTAGTGTGGAGTGCTTTTGGGAAACTGAACCTAAAAATAAAAAGCAAACATACCAATGTGTCTAAGAAGAAATAGTTTTCTTAATCAGTGTATATTATCTTATTATCAGAAACGTGGATATTGACAAATAAAATAGAGCAAATGCTGAAATGTGGGCAAAAAACCATGGAGAGGGGTATATTCTTGGTGAATGGCTAGGTGGCAGTATAGAAAGTGTATTTTTGATTGTTTATTCCATCTGAGATGCTAGGTAATCATTAGCGGAAATTGCCAAACATTTGGTGTAAGCAGGGCCATCCTGAAAACAACTCTTGCGAGGTTTTCCTGAATAAACAGAAGCAATTATTATTAATTTAAATTATTCTTCCACATTTTTACAGACAACGTGAATCGTACCTTTACGTGGTAAGCACTGCGTCACGCGATCGTTGCCATCTGCTGCAGCTTGCGAAACACCGGGGCTCGCTCTACCATAAGCGTGGTAGGCGGTGGGGATCTAGCTGCCTCTGTGGCGTGCGCGTGACCACGCAGCTGTGCGCCTGCACGTGCGTCCAATTGAGCTTCCGCCACAATCAAAGACAATGCACTATCAAAGTAATGAGGGCTCGGGGTGAGCATCTACATCATGATCGGGGTGAGCATCTACATCATGATGTAGATGCTCACCCCGAGCCCTCATTACTTTGATAGTGCATTGTCTTTGAGCTGTGTGACGCCTTTTGGCGTCATCTGGTCGAGCACCAATTGGGTCGAGGCTCAAAAGGAAGCCGTCCCTTGGTGTGGACCAATCAGTTTCAAGGACAATGCATATATTATCATAGTATGTTTTTGTTTGCATTTTGACTGCAGGTATTGTGGTTAATGCAGACATGAATCCTTGTAAAAATGTTTCAGTTTTGTTGCCAGAAAAAAAAGGGGAAAAACCTTATTATTATATTTTGGTACTGGCAAAGGAGGTCTAATGATGAAGATATTCGACTCGGTTAAAAAAAAAAACCCTCTTCTCTGCTGTCGAACCGAGGAGCACCGCGGCCGTGCAGAGTCGGTCCGGCGTGGCTCAGGAGGCCCCAGTTGTTAACTTGTATTTACTTATTTATTTTACCGGGTAAGGCCCACTGAGCTACATATCTCTTTTTCAGACGCAACCTGGGCATCACAAATTACGGCTTAACGAAGTGGCTTCTCGCGTGGAAATTTCTACCAGTCAAATACCCTGAATGCACGTTGATCCGAAATCTGGAGAGAAAGACCGGAGGACCAGGAGAAAAAAAATCCACGCCACCACAGGGATAGAGATATGCAAACTCCAAATATACAGCAGCAGCAGGTGTCAGGGTCGGGATTCAACCCACGACTTTCTGTATACCAGGCGAGGTAGTTAACTTCTCGGATGCAAGAGCTGGGCCATGCCATTGGCATCACGTGCAATTGAAAATAATAAAGGTTTTTTTTCTGGGGTTAGATCGCGTAAATATAAATGTGTCGTTAACCCACCATCCGATGCAGCCAATTAGTAAGGTTTGTCACATAAACACAACGTACCAATTAGTCACCACTAACCCCCAAAAACACCTACCTTTATTATGATTAATATTTGTCACGAAAGCCTCTACGTGTTAAACGTGCAAATGAACGTTTGACATCGGCATCAAATGTCCAAGTGCTCTGACTGCCGCAACGCGTGACGGAAATGATTAACCCTGCCCCTGGCCCCTGCATGGCCCTGAGCCAGATTGAGACGTCTCACAAGAGGCCTGCGTATCACAGTTTTTTTTTACATCTCGTTCGACTCGGCAAATGGCAGTGGAAAAATCACCCGTGCCATGAGGGTCACGCAATGTATGTATATTTATGGTGAACTTTTTTCGCACAGTACGTGGCCAACCGCGTTAATAGGAGGGGCGGGAAATGGCACAGCTCAGGTGCGCCACTGTCAAGGGATATTAAACGAGGTATCGGAGGAGGGCTAAATTGATGGCTTTGCCCATTTCCGTTTACCTTTTCGGCTGTGTTTTTGTGCGTTTTTCTATCATAGTTAAACCGTTGGCAGAGCCAGTGGGAGTGTCAACTCGAGGATTTGAATGTGGAGCCCTCCGATGGATGTTAATTCAAATGGGAAGAAAAAAATACTTCTAAATCGACTGTGTCCACGTTAAAATAGCTTTTCCAAATTTTCCATGGAAGTTGGGCTGCTTCTGTCGTGGTAATCCGCCTGCTGGGATGTCTTGGCCTTGAGTGGGGGAGGTGCATAAATAACCGAACGCGAGCAAATGCTGCCACGCGCGGGCCTAATCATTTGCATAATGAGACGCGCTCGTGGTTAGGATTTTGCATATTTCACGTGCATCTCCTTGCTTCCCCGGTCGCCTGTTTGCGCACGCGGGCGTTACAAATGATTGCGCGCCGCACAGAGAGATATGCAAATACGTGGTTATTATTGTTGCTCTTTTTTATTGTCTTTAGACTTTGCGAGATGTTATGCTTCGTTGTTTCTCCTTTTTCTTCTTCTGCGGTCCACTTGGTTTCCCGGAAGCGCTCGCAAACTCAACTCATGGTTGTTGTTGTCGTCGTTTTGAAAATGGTGCCCGGGTCCCTTGGCCTTGTCTCTCACCCCCCCCCTCCCCCCACCCAGGTCCCATCCTCTCAGCAATAAAATAATCGTCGATTCATATTCATCCTTACGCTCACCAAGTCGCGCAAAGCAACTTTATTTACGATTAATGCCAATTTACATGTAAATGAATGAGCTCATGTTAGATCTAGGCTCATGAAGTGGGAGAAAAAAAAACAGCAGCATGCGAACAAGACCTAAAAAGTTCTAATACGAACGAGAAAAATTAATTATTTGGAACGTAGCCTGCTTTGGTGACCAATATCAAGAATCGTTATTTTGTTAGATCGCGTAAATATACATGTGCCGTTAAACCCGCCACCACCCCACACAGCCAATTAGTGAGGTTTGTCATGTTAATTCGTTACTAGTTCAGCACACCGGCATGTTGGAGAGCAGAGCCACAACATTTAAAATCTGAGTACGACATTTCACCAGTAATTACAACATTATTTTTTCTTGACTCAATGCTTGCGACTGTCAACAGTGGCACGGAGTGGGGGGAGGGGATGCTGTATTGTTAAATGGCTGCCATCCACTGTGGCATGAACATCTTTTCTGGCTGCGATCGACCTGAGACTGTGCAAAGACTTCCTTTGACTGTCAAGCTCAAGACGTCATCGTGGCCAATGTCCGTAGATGCCTCCGCACTCCGTCAACGCTCTACATTACCCCCCTGTCGGATCCCGCGGCCTCCAAGTTCTTCCCCACATCTGATCGTCAGTCTTTTCCCCCGGTCGCCAGACTCATGGGGACTATTCCGATGTCTGTCTCGGCAACCAGGGCCCTCCTGCACAAATGTCCCACCGAAGCAGCACAACTCGTTACGCCTAATTCAATCTCACGTTGACTTGAAAACCACACCTCCGATTAGCACGGGTGGCTACGTACGATGCGAAAAAAGTTCAACATACGTACAAACTAGGTTTAATAAAATCCCTGCAGAGTTCACCTCTGTGATCTTCACTGCCTGGGCATTGCCAATAACTTCACTATTACAGTGGTCAAAGCGATCTTGACCCCTTTTAAAGACAAACTCAAGGCTGAGGAGAGAGCCAACTTACTATGCCACATCTATAGTTCACTGTATTTGCTGGCTTCATTAATACCACTGTTAATTGAATGCTGCACAATAAGTAATTGTTTACTGCATAATAATGACTGTAAAGCTTGTAGCAGTAACCCATTTACAAGGCTCTCCGATTCAACTTTGGTTTCCATTGTTTAAAAATTTAGCAGACTGCATTATTAATGCAATTTTATTATTTAGGTAAAAAAAAATAATCATTAATTTTACATATCTCATAGCCCTGTATGAAAATTAATTAAAACTTAATGGGATAATGCTATTGAATTAGGCTGAGCAGTGTAAGGCCACTAATCTCCGTACACGGGAGTTGGTATTGTTGTGTGCAAAAGGGATTGCTAACGTGACCTTACATCTGCTCGCCTATTAACCACCACCACCTGCTTATTCCACACGTTCACCTTCGCCAGAGGGCCCTGGCCCATCGTTGGAGACACGGTCTAAAAACGGTATGGCTTTGTGGCATGCAGATAACTGTGCAGAGCAGTGTGCCCTCGGCTGTCTTCCCACGAGTTTGAAATTCGGTTTGACTGTAACTAAAAAAAATCTCATTAGCAAACCTTCCAACTCATCTCTGACAACCCGGAATATGCGGTTTTGGGGACATATCTACAAGACGCGAACTACTTTTTTTAACCCGAATTGCACCGTAATTATCTGCCCTCTTCCTTTGGCTCATTGATGGTGATGAGGCCAAACAATGTCTGGCCACAGTTCTCTTTCTTTAACCAGTACTGTTGCTCCTTTCTATTTCAATACAGCCTCTTCTATATATGACTTACCCTGGCGTCTATCCACGAGGCTTTCTGTCTTTGCCTGCCTCCTCTTTCCCACCATTTGTGTGCGCAGCTTCGCATAATACGAGGTCACGTCCGGGCTCATTACCCCGGCATGTGCCTGAACCCCTGCAGTCTTCCGTCTTTAACATTGTCTCAAGGACGTATTCACTTCTTCCTGTGTCACATTGGTGAGCACGAAAGACTCCTGGACTTTGCTATATTTTCCACGTAACAGAAGTCTGAGTCACTGCTGGTCCCATGTGCTGTAGCAGGCGAAAGCCCAGTGAGACTGGAAAGATCTTCTGCAGGGGACACTGTTGGGATGCTGATAATTTGGAAGGAATTGCATTTTTCATTATGAATGCAATTACAAATTGTGCAGCTTCCTCTGAATTTAAGATACATTTATAATAATAAAATATGTCAACATAACAATTGGGTACATCAGCGATACACTTGTCGCCAAGTATTCATTAGGTGGGGTGTGGGGTTCTCTAAATGTGAGTGACATCTCCAGAACAGGACAAATCGTTTGAAACATGGTTGACATACCTCCACGTATGTTAATGAATGGTGCAGAAAGTCGGTGACTTTTTATGCAAGCGGCGTTTGAGCGCTATTTTGCACATCGTACGCGTTCACTGCCTGCTCGCTTCGGTATTGCGTGGACGTTCTCTGCCCCGATCTCAGCTTCCTCGTGCACCCGTGCGTTTCCCCACAATAGTAATCGAAAGCGCCGAGAATTTAAACCACGCTGGCTTCACGCTCACCCGCACACCAACTTATTTTTTAAAAATGGAGAGTCCGGGAGCTCGCCGGCGTGCACATAACGTTTGCCTGTAATCACGCAATATTTCTCCCTTTTATTGTTGCGCGCAGACCCAAGGCTTTATTAACGACAACATCCGGAAGGGGATTGAGAATTACTACGACGACCTGGATTTCAAGAACATCATGGATTCCGTTCAGCGCAAGGTGCCGTTTCGACGACAGAAGTCTTTCTCGCAAACGGATTGTTCCGTTTGAAAGTTTAAGACGGAGCGTAATGGTCAATGATTATCTCAAAGACTTGAAAATATTTGAAATGGTCTGCCACTAAGTGCTGTGCAGAACGTGAATCTCTTTGGGACCATTATTTTATGCGGCTGGCTGTACAGCGAGCAATTTAAAGGTTTAGACAGCACAGGAAGTCCATGTGCAAGAGTGCTCGGGTTCGTCCACTGAACTTATAAGCAGAGATTTTGGTACGTAATAACAATGTGAAGAATAGTAGTTGTATGTTGTTGAACTTTTTTCGTACCGTACTTAGCCAACCGTGCTAATCGGAGGTACTAATATATCAATGTCGTGGTTTTTTAAACTGGCTGCTTGATAATGTTTTTTTCCCTGTGAGATATTCCATTGGTATTGATCAACATGAGTCAATTATTGGTAAAATTTGGGGAAAAAAACTGTTTGCTGTTTGTGAACAGACAGCCTGCCCATGTTTCTTTGCTGGTATGTGGTGCTCGGCTAGAGCTATGGCATAGTGATTAGCACACTGCATCATAAACGTGGTTACCCAAGTTCGATTCCTGGCCTCGGCTAATGTCGGTGGCAAGTGATATCTGAACTGGTCCTGTGCTGACCAGTGTGGTGATGTATGCTTGAATAACTCCCACAACCAATAAGATCTGGTAAAACATTCATGCAACAGTGGATTGACAAAGGGCTGTGAATGTATCATCCCCACAAGATCCCAGGCAATGTATTTAATAAAATATGGAAATATACAACCCTTGATCGATCCACTGTTGGATGAAGGCCTCCCCACACCGTTGCAGTCACGAGAGTCCTTTGACCAGACTTTGCCACAGCTGTTCAGACCAATTTATTCATCTGCTACAAAGCCATCGCATGTTAATGATGGCCATTGAAGTTGATGATGGGACCAAAGAAAAAAACCTTCAAAGCTTTGATTTTGCGACGCCGCAATACACGCATGACGTCGCTTCGCTCTTAAAAGTTCACTTGAACCATTCGAAGGCCGCGTTGCACGAGCGCCGCGTGGCACCGGGCCCTCGCGCGTGGCACCGGGCCCTCGCGCGCGTGGCACCGGGCCCTCGCGTCGCGTGGCACCGGGCCCTCGCGTCGCGTCTGTGCAGGTTGCAGCTTCCGCTCCACGGGCGAGGGCTGCCGCACGCGGCCCTTCGTGACCACTGTCCGCTGCCTTCTTTTATCTCGTTATTCACGAGTGGCGCAGCAGGTTCTCATTAGTGCCCTCTGCTCCGGTCCCCCCGTGCTGTAGGGAAGGTGTGCTGGCTGTCAACAGCTGTCACTGCGATTCCAGTCCAATGTAGCCGGGTGCCAGCGAGAATGGGTTTAGTCACCTGTTTAGCTGCGGAGAGAACTGTGCGAGTTGCCTGATGGAATGCGCGCTTTCACGGCGCCCCCGAGACTAGGTATGACACCGCCCACAGTGATTTCCTGCTCGAGTGGCCTCTGAAGCAGTGCTCTCCTCCCCGTCGTAACACTGGGGCCACTGTTAGCACTTCCACATTGATATGGCAAGAGTAACCATCCGTCAAGAACTGTCGACTTCCCTGCAGGAGTCGTATTAATTGTATCGACACCCAGAGGGGGATGATGGACTGAATCAATCCAAAACCAGGATTTGAACTTGTAACCTTGCGTTTGCGAGCCACTCACTCTGCTGCTGAGCCACACGTCCAGATTGCAGAGATGAAGTGTATGAATTGAAAATGGAAAGTAATGTTTGTGTGTGTGTGTGTAAAATGTACAGTATGTCCAATCTTGGGAGGGAGAAGTGGAGTGGTGTAACCATGGTTAGCTATGCTGTGCCATTCTGGGGAAATGTTTACCCATACTTCACCGTGCTGGTCAATACAGGTTGGTGAACGGGGCAGGGGCAAGCGACCAGTTCAGATATCACCCGCCACTAATGCTGGACGTGGCCTGGAATCGATCTCCATTCGCTGGGTTTCCGAGCACCGTGCATGAATCACTGTACAGTCGCTCCATATAAGTGATAAAAATACACATATATAGTGGCATGTTGAAGTTTATATGGCTAGTAAAACAAATACATATATAACTAGACTGTCCTGTAAGCTTCGAGACATCAAGTCGAGCTTTCTCGAACCGCGATTGTGAAAAGTGCTCATCGCTGCTAATTCCTTCAATGGCCGTAGTTCCAGTGCTGCGGCGGGCAGGACTACACGGACTGGAGGGTGAATGTCTATCACTCGTGCTCCTCACCGGGCCCGGCCTCCTGCGGGGTTCCGTACACCTGCTGCGATGTGCTGGAGGTGCGGCGACCGGCGTGGTCGCGGTTGCACACGGAGAGAGAGCGACACCGCGGCCGATGACGCTGACGACGCCGATGACGACGCCGATGACGACGACGCCGCTGACGACACTGACGACGCTGACGACGCTGACGACGCTGATGCTGACGACGCTGCTGATGCCGCCAATGACGACGACGCCGCTGACGCCGCTGACGCCGCTGACGCCGCTGACGCCGCTGACGCCGCTGACGCCGCTGACGCCGCTGACGACGCTGACGACGCTGACGACGCTGACGCTGATGCTGACGATGCTGACGACGCTGATGCTGACGACGTTGATGCTGACGACGCCGACGCTGACGACTCTGACGACTCTGACGACTCTGCCGACGCTGCCGACGCTGCCGACTCTGCCGACGCTGACGACGCTGACGACGCTGACGACGCTGACGACGCTGACGACGCTGACGACGCTGATGCTGACTACGCTGATGCTGACTACGCTGACTACACTGACGACTCTAACGACTCTGACGACAACGACGCTGAGGCCGACGATGACGACGCCCACACGCTCTTCGTTTTGCACGCGGGGACTCTCTTTTAAAACGGAATCAGAAGTGAGATTGATGGCTTATAATGTGGAAATCAGAATCTGAATATTTATTTAGACCGGAGGAATCTGATGACGTTGTCAAGCTCTTTTTCACAGATGTCCAGTAGGGGCGGGGTAAGAACGTCACAGGGGTGGGAGGGAGTACAAAACAAAAATATTCGGTCAACGTTGAACAAACTTTAAACCAGCGGTTCTCAAACCCGTGGGTCGTGCGGGCTTTTCAGCATGGTTACTGTGCAGGATACAATTCGGATGTTCACGGGGAGCATCAACGCAGAGTTGCGAAACACATGCCTTACATGCACAAAGTATACTCGTACCGCAACATGAGAAACACGCCTAACTCACACAAAATATTATCATACAACAACATGACACACTTTCCTTGCCAACACAACACATTCTATCTTGATTTGAAGCTTTCGTGACTGCCGGAATACATACTCTTTGGTTCTTTCGGTAAAGTCACGTAGGTATAGAATAAAATAAATCACGACGTTTCGGGCGCAACACAAGCGTCCGTCATCAGGTGGGAAAGCAGACCATGCCTTCCCACCTGATGACGCCGTGATTTGTTTTATTTTATACCTACATGACTTTACCGAAAGAACCAAAGAGTACAGCACATCCTGATACACGGCACGAGAAAGAAATGCCTTCCAGAGAGCACACGAATGCACAACGTGAAACGCACACCTTTCTAGTACCGCAGTGATGAAGTAGCATCGACACGTGTTCTATCTGTATTGTGACCAAAGTAACCTTGGTTGCGTGTTTGGGATGGAGGGTGGTCGGCGGGGGGGGGGGGCAATGTAAGAGACCCAGTGGTCTGGAGAAACCCACCGTTTTTAGTTAACGTTCAGTGCCCACACAGAATGAGGAACGATTCGGTCTGGTTTATGTCTGTCACGTGTTCTACTCTGGGTCTCACCCTCTGTGTATACGAGGAGAGGCCAGAGCTTCATTGAACTAATTTCCTCCATGTCGTCTCGCACCCCTCCAACTGGCCGCAGACAGTGGTCATGGGGTCTTCACCAAATTGTCAACTGATGCCAGTGCTAATTAACGTGCCAATATATATTTTGATTGACTATGGTATGGGGCCGACATTCAAAAATGGAGTACAAGTTGCCCACATTATGTTTAACATTCCAAAAGTCAAGACAGTACTAAGATTGAGATTGGTTCTTTTGCCAACGATACGGTCCCTCTTGACAAGTGGAGTAACATTGCGTCGGCTTTACATTCGGGAACAATTGAATCGCGCCCGGTTTTCTGCAAGCCGTTAGCTTCTGTAGTTAAACAGTTTTTAGACAGGCGGAGATTTTTTTCTCTCAAAAAGCACTAAATGCACGTGCCTTTTATTCAGTTACTATATTACATAAACTTTTACATGTCTCCTCATGTAATTATTTATGACAAAAGTTGCATTTGCGAAATGTATGCATTAGATTGATCTCTTTGCGTTTTCTATGCTGGCTCTCTTGCATGTAACTTTTGCTTCTGTGCTGGGTACGCTTTCTAAACTGAGGTTTCCCTTGATTAATAAAAAAAAATAGACTTTAACCCTCAAAGGGATTTTACCTGATTATACATAAAGCACTTGAGCATATGTAATGCTAAAATGCTTCTCATCCTGTTGCTGCCACTTTCGAATTTTGTTACATTGAATATCTTCTAAGAAAACTAACCATTGATGTTTTGAATGGGTAATAAATAATTATCAGACGTATTTCCCCGTGCAACTCGGTGCATTTCAAAGCGCCGCGTTGACAATTGACCTTTCATTTTGCGCACATTTTACATGTAGGTCATGTATATCCAACCTTTAAAAACAATACCAAATATTCAGAATCTAATTTTAATGAAAGGTACATTATTAACCAGTGGCATATTTATTCAGCCTCACCTGGTGCTCAGCCCCCCTGGTCGACAATGCAGTTTGCGTGCATTGCAGGTTTAGCTCCCTGTGGTGTAATGGTCAGATAATGGAATTGCAATGCCGAGGTTCGCCAGTTCCATTACATCTCCTGGCACGGCAGTTGAAACAAAGGGCGATGTTTCTCAAATCCCGCCCGCCTCTGTCCACCCAGCAGTATATATATAAGTGCATCAGAGTTGATCGGCAGGTCGCGTACGGTGGGGTAAAGTGTGGGTACGCCGGCGTCCCCCAACGCACTTGGCCAGCGGGGTTAGAGTAGACCGAGTAATCTCTCGAGTTCGCTTCGCTGGAGGCACTTCTACCAGCAGTAGAGTGAGCAGGCAATTGCATGGCTGCAACTTTTTACCTTTTAGAGTCTAATGCGCCGGCGTTACTCCTTGGGCATGCATGTGATTAAAGGTTCTGTCCTCTAAATGATTCATCGGTCACCCTTTATTACTGTCTGTTGGCCGAATTGGCTTCTGGAACAAGAGCCATGCACGCCAGTCCCTCTCGCTCGCAGATCACTCTCTCGCTGTGTTTATCCACAGGGTTCGCAGCCTGTCAAAAACACGCAGTGCGGTTTTGGAGCCCTGAAACTGGAGGCAAGTGTTTTCATCACCTGATCTATTTACGCAACACACGCATACCCGGATGTTTTCGGTGATGCTGCCAGGGTTGGTTGATGGTCAAAGCGCTGGACTTGCAATTCAGAGTTCGTCGGTTCGATTCGGTCTCCCAGAGTGGCAGTTGAAGCGGTGGACCACGCATTCCTTGAATCCCCCCAGCCCCGGCGTCTGTCACATGCAGCACGGTTTAAAGTGGGGTCTTTCGGTGAAGTCACGTAGATAGAAAAATAACTAATAGATCACGACGTTTCGATCGCAACACAAACAATCGTCTTCAGGTGAAAAAATACAGCAGGCGGACTGCTGAGGCAGGAAGAAATATAGCGAGAGAGCTACTGCAGCCAAAGGTTTTAATTAGGTTTGAGATGGGTACAACTCAAGGGTAAGTGGACGGGGCTAGAGATGGAATTTGCAAGTAAATGTAAGATCGCAGAGCTAGGTATACCTAGGCCATTGTATTGCTAGAGATTAGCATGTCAATCTGTTAATGTAACCCCATGGCTACGGTGGAAGAAGCCATTGTATGGCTAGAGATTAGCATGTCAATCTGTCAATGTAACCCCACCACTACGGTGCTGAAGAAGCCATTGTATTGCTAATGAGAGAGACATTCAGCCTATTAAACAACGAGCACCACCGCCACATCGAGGAAAAGGGAGCAGCAGCTTTGTTAGTGAGACATTTAGCCTGTTAATGTAAAGACATTTAACAAGGTAATGTAACTCAAGAGAATCGGAAATAACTGCTAACATTGGCAGGTAGGATGGAAGCAACACAGCCAGTTATGACTTCACCTGGTTAACAACGTCCTTCCAATGATTGCTCAATTTGTACCCATCTCAGTTGAAATTGTGTCTGTGTTTATATATCTGGATTGCTTCATGAACATATCTTTGTTGATAGCCAGTGGGTTTGCATAGTACCTTCGTCTTGGAGAAATCAATTTCATGTGTGCCCACAGCGTTAAAACAATGATCAGCCGCGGCAGAGGTGTTGGTCCTACCGTGTTTCAGATCTGCCTTATGTTCACAAACCCGGTCTGAGACATGTCCCTTAGTTTCCCCAATGCAACTGCTGCCGCAGACACAGCTTAGTTTGAAGACGCCGGGGTATTGCATGTCAGGGATAACATCCTTCATATATGGGATCAGATCACGAATTTTATGTACTGTGTTGAATCGGACCTGGATCTTGTGTTTGCTCATGTTTTTGGAAATCTTTTTGGTGACCCCTGCTATGTATGGCAAGGTGATGGTTTTGATTGGTTCCTAAGGTGGTTCTCTCTCATCGGTTGGGGTGACAGCTTTACGGATTGTGTAGTCTGAATATCCATTCATTTGAAAGCTTTGTGTACATGCTCCAGTTGACTGGCTAGGTGGTGATGGTCGGAAATGCAACGAGCCCTATGGTGCAGAGTTTTTTTTTTTTATGAGGGAATTCTTCTGGGTTGGATTATGGTGGGAGTCAGGTTTTAGATAGGCATCCGTGTGGGTGGCTTTGATGTAGAGAGTGTCCCAATGAGCCATCTGGTCTCTTTTCGATTAAAACATCTAAGATTGGTAACTTGCCATCCTTTTCCACCTCCATGGTGAATTTGATGGCTGGGTGTATGGAATTGATGTGGCTGAAGAATTGGTTCAGAGCTGGCAGGCCATGTGGCCAGATGACGAATGTGTCATCTCCGTATCTCTTCCACAAGGAAGAACGTAGGATGGATGTCTGGGTGCCATCTGTCTCAAATTTTTCCATGAAATAATTGGCTACCACTGGAGATAAGGGAGAACCAATTGGGGTACCTTCATCTTGTTTGTAGAATGTACCAATCCAGGTGAAGTAAGTGTTGGTGAGGCAGTGTTTCACCAGGGCCAGTACATCAGCATTCAGTCCTTGTTGGACCAAATCTTCAATGATTGTAATGATGTCAGGCACAGGCACTTTTGTAAACAAAGAAACTACATCGAAGCTGACAAGCAAATCACCTGAAGATAGTGAGATGTCTTTAATTAGAGATACCAAGTGAGCCGAGTTAATTACAGCTGAGGTGGTCTTGCCAGTGAACAGCAGCAAGGTCTCAGACAGAGATCGGGCCAGTTTGTAGGTGGGTGAGTCAATGGTGGAGACGATAGGATGGAGTGGTGTACCACAGTTGGCCAATCGGCAGGTCGCGTGTGGCGGGGAAACTTTGGGGTACCTCCAACCTCATAGGAGACGTTAGGCCGCCACGGAAGGGGAGGCCAAAAGTCTATCTAGATGGGGGCCTCTCTAGAGCTACCATCTAATGGTGGGCCTTCCGTCAGCAGTGGTGTGAGCAAACAATTTCAGCGCTGCACCTTTACCTTTTACCATTACACACGTGTATAGGCAGTGGGCTCAGACCTTTAAAAACAACTCATTTCCATTAAGACTGCTATTTTAGTGGCCAAATATGCTGATGGCTGACATATTGGGTCAATCTTTTTTTTAATAACAGAGCGGGAAGGTTTCATCTTCTTGGTTCTTTCGATGAAGTCACGTAGAATGAGAATAAAACAATAAAACAAAATAAGACAACAAAATTCTCACGACGTTTTGGCCACAACACAAGGCTACAGATGGCACCCAGGCTACTTGTGTTGTGGCCGAAGCGTCGTGAGAATTTTATTGTCTTATTTTGTTTTATTGTTTTATTCTCATTCTACGTGACCTTACCGAAAGAACCAAGAAGATGAATCCTTGCAGTCACGAAAGCTTTAAATCGAGAGAGGGAAGGTGTTAGGGAGTGTTGATGGGCCCTATAATACCGTGGAGTGTAGCGGGGGAGAGCGGTAGTGCAGTGGTTCATATACTTAGGCCTGAACCCAGCGACCTTAGTTCGGTTCCCAGGCACGGCTAACATGTGGTGAGTGATATCAGATCCTGCCCTGGTCAACTTCGCCAGCGTTCGCTGACCAACACAGCGTGGGGGGAGGCCATCATCCAACAATGGATTCACTCGGGCTGAAAGTGACTTTAACCACTTTTTCATCACTGTGTTGCATAACACAGCGATGAGCATACGGGCAGATCCATTTTTACAAATCACGCTGTCTCAGCCATCCTTACGTCTTCTCAACAGGTTATTAAACATCGTCACCGTTGGTGAGATTTTGAACTGCCACGTCGCTTTCTCTTTAATTCCTCCCTATGATTGGACGAGTCGTTCTGTAATATTTTTTCCATTTCTAATCCGGTGTAAACGGTGATGGTGGCGATTTGTTTTGGTCGCCGCATATACACTGCTGACAACGGTGCAGTCCCTTGCACAAATTCGTTGGGCAGCGCGAGTCCGTCCACAGCAAAGAACGTTATTACATTCGAGAGAGGAGGGGGCATTTCAAGATGCTTTGTTCCTGATGTTAAGAGGCATCTGTTGCAGCGTCTGGGACACAAAAATTGTATTTCGTATGGGTGATTTTGTTTGTATGTGGGCTGCTTGCAATGAATGGGCAGAGCAACAGAATAATTAGGTTTTATCTGATTCTCTCTGCAGCTCTCAGTGGTATAAATAATATGTTGTTATTTTCCATTACTGGGCTAAATGCCACGCATTATTTTTTTTAATATGATGAATAATAAAAATACATTCATCTTTTTCTGGTTACAATTTTTGTGCATTATGTATGGATTTGAGGTGGGCCGGTGGCATCGTGGTTTGGACACACTGTGTTTTTAAATACCAGCAAATTGAGTTTGATTCCCGGCTGGGGTCTAACATCATTGGTGAGTGATACCTGGCACTCCCCCCCCTTTCACCAACCTGCACATGGCAAGCATGGTGAAGTATGATCCAACGTCCTTCATCCAGCAGTGGATCGACATGGCTGTACATACACGCATGTAATTAGTTCAATATCATATATGAAATGTAATGTTTTTTTGTTAACCGAGGTTTGTGTGTTCATGTCGGGGAGAAATAATGTATCGGTTCATACATTGTGCTATATTACCTCGGTGGCCTGAGATTGATTCCTGGCCATGCATTACAATAACACCATCAACCCGCTGCACTGTCAATATCTGTACAAGAGAGACAAAGACAGCAGGGAGTGGATAATGCTGGCCCCCGCACCCCTTCGTTTGCTATTTTAACCTCCATAGTCACTCACGAATGTCACCTACCACAACGTTATATCATGGTAAAACAGGAGTCTATCTGAGCAAGGTGCAACAATGGTATCTTTGGCAATATTTCTAAATGTAAGACCTTAGACTTGCCATGGGCACGTGTGTGTGTGTGTGCATCGCTCCTTTGCACTCGAGTCTTACTGGCGGGCAGAGGAGCGATGCTCACAACAACGAACAGCGCTCCGGGGCTGACAAAACAATCTGGCAACAGCGGGGGAGCACAGGTGGTACAATTGGCCAGGTCATCTCAATCAGCTAACTCGTAACACCTGGGTCTTTCCCGTGACCTCCTGCAAGCAAGCCTTCCAACGCTTCACGTGACGGCCTCAAAGAATGCACTTGGCCTGGTACAAGCGCTTGTGGTGACAGCAGCACCACTTAATGTCGAATGGCGCCTGTGTGGTTGCTGCTCTTGATGCTCCTGCTGCTGTTGTGCCCTGGTGTCTGCTCTCGTGTGTGTGTGTGTGTGCACGCGCGTGCGTGCGTGCGAATGTGCAGCGGCTGCAGCTCCGGGGTCAGATTTACACGCGGGGCTGCGTGGACGCGCTGCTCATCTGGCTCATCGACCACTACACTGTGATGGCCGCCATCCTGATGGGCTTCCTCTTGCCTCAGGTTAGAGGGCTCCCTGTGGCATTTAACATGTCCCGACATTCCAATTTGGACATGACCACCCTGACAATCCTCTCTGGCACTGTGCAGTTGCCGTTTTTGCTGCTGTTGTTGACATTTTCAGTTTCTATTACTATTGCAAAGCAAAGGAATGCCAGCACAATCACCACCACCATTAGCAGTTCCTATTTCTGTCACTGACATAATCAGCACCATCATTAACCGGCATTTATTTTATCGACAACATAATTAGGCATGTCACATTAAATTTCATCATCATCAATGATTAGACCGTTTCTGGATGAAGGCATCTCCATGCTGTTACCATTTCACTATGTGCTATGAGTCCACAATACATCTCACACCGAACAGATGAGCCGATCTCATTGCTCCATCTCTGCAGCGTTCATCACCATCGTCATGGGCGTGTTTTCTCCTTCGGCTGCCATTCCATCACCAGTTTTGTCCATGAGTCATCAACCCTTTTCGAGATGTGTCCTGCCCATGGCCCATTTCCATGTAAATAATGTACTGATACGTGCCATTTGTATCGTGACCTATATATCCACGAGTCTCGCTAAGATCTGTACCGGTATATATCTGTACCATCGCAGGACACCCATTAAACGGAGCCTAACAGCATATTGGGCGCTTCCTGCTGAAATGAATGAAATATTGTCTAAATCTATAAATCTATTTTCCTTAGCAGTCTGTAATTTGTGTTTGTTCCCTTATACATGTGTTCCCCTTTCTGTCTCGAGGGTTATTCTAAGCGTGTATTTGTCTCTGCTTCCTTGCACAACCTTGCAGCATTTGTGCCGTATTCTCTGTCAGTGCCCCTGTTGCCGAAACCCATATTTTGTCAGCGGGTAATAAACACCAGGTGGATACTACCATCTCTTGCCGTGACAACGTTATCACAATCGGGACAAAATTGTAGGGGGAGAAAAAAACTACAAGAGAATAAGAACATCACCAATAATAGAGTTGTTTTTGGGTGGTAGATCGTGTAAATATATAGATGTGTCGTTAAACCCGCCACCACCCGACACAGCCAATTAGTAAAGTTTGTCACGTAAAAAAAAACGTGCCAATTTGTTACTAGTACAGCACACCGGTGTGTTGGAGAGCAGAACCACAACATTTACAATCTGAGTACGACGTTTCACCAGTAATTACAACTAGCTTCATCAAGCACACACCGCTTTGCTGTACTAGTGACGAATTGGTATGTTCTGTTTACGTGACGAACCTCACTAATTGGCTGTGTTGGGTGGTGGCGGGTTTAACGACACATCTATATATTTATGCGATCTAACCCAAAAAAAAAACCTGTATCATGGATGATATTGGTCACGAAAGCCCCTACGTGTTAAACTGAAGAAGAACATCGCTTCTCTCAAAGTGTGCAGTGCTACCTAGTCAAATTGATCGTGCTCAGCCTTTAATGTTGCTTTGTTTGCATTCCAGCTTGTCGGCATAATTCTGTCGTGGTGCTACATAGGACGGCTAGAGGACATCATTCTGCAGAACGAGCAGCAAGAGCAAGAAGAAGCTCGTGATGCGTTCATAGATGAAGCAGAGGCGTGAACAGAAGACGTTGCCGCTGTGTTGCACTACACGCACGACCATGCACATGTGCGCACACGCACGCACGCGCGTATGTACGCACGTATACACTCCAGCATTCATACGCACAAGAGCCATGACAAAGATCTACATCGCAACAGTTGTAAAATAATAAAATTATGCTCGTATCGCTCTGGTATATATTAATAAAAGTGTGCAGTGTGTGCAACATGCCAGTATGAGTTATTGCGAGAATTTTGTTCCATTTTATTTAATAGAAAGTCGTAATATTTCCCGCACCTCCAATTAGCGAGGTTGGCTATGTACGGTGCGAAAGAAGTTCAACATACATCACAAGCTGTACTGTTTGAATTGCGGAGGCAAGTTTACAATTAAAAACAAAACGTGCTGAAAAGCTCCGATGCTTTTCCGATGCTTATTATTCTATTTCCATTGCCGAGTTATCCCACATGCACAATGCGAGTTATTTAATAAAGCATTTATTTGGGATGGATAATATATAGATCATATCACGACAAAAAAATGTGCAAGGACATTATTGTTTCGTTAAAAACACACCGGATTTTACAAAAAAAATCTAGAAAATATCTAAAAACCTACCTCCCAATGTTTTTCTGTTTCATAATCATGTCAAAATAGAAAATGTGCTTTGAACAAGTCCATTTCCAAAATGTCACATTCTATATACATTTCCTTATTAGAGCAATGTTATTGACGAATGTGAGCCTTGATTTGTTGCGCTTATGCGCCACTGCCAACGCAGTATCGCAAAAAGTCGTCGTCAATCATCGTCATTTTACAAAATTGCGAATATTTGTTGTCACATTATGCAAAAAGAATCTCCCAAGCTGCTTTTACTCACTGCATGTTTGCCTCTCCGTGAAAAATGAGACACCACTTCAACCCGCGTCTCTCGGTGGCTTCACCAAATACCACTGAAAGCCCCGCCTGCATTCACGCCACCCGTCTTGGCTTGCATGCAAATTATCACGGTGGGATTTTTTTTGTTAATTTTTTTTGTTTTGTTTTAAAGTTGTTGGTTGAGTGGCGTTCATGAGCTTGCACATCTGTGTAAAGCTGCCCCCCCCCACCCCTCCCCCAAACTCTATGATGGCTGAGACACACTCTTATATGTGTGTTTAAATTAAATTATAATGCACCCATCGGCAAACTATTAATGTCTATTTAATTATTCAATCAGGGCAAGTAATTTGTTGTTAATTTTGGCACAATTGCTTGGGGGTCCTTTTCAGGAGCATTTAACGGAGACTTTTACGCCACACGATGTGACACGTGGCCTTTTAATTAACAGCGGGACTTTGAGATTAAAATGTTTAATACCCGAGTAATGACTTGACTTTGAAATAAAAAGCAATGTATCGCTGTGTTTTCGTCGAAAGGTCTGTCAACAAGTATCGGAACTGGTTGCCTACTAACACATCGCGGTTCAGTTTTCTTTTTAGCCAGTTCAACAAAGTTATAAGCGGCCTTATTTTACCAACTAATGTCACGCAGAATTTCCGTTGACGAGTCCACGCACATTTGTGTGTAGATCTATAATGCAGTGCAATTGGTGTGTGATTATTTCGCACGCTGCTTTTCAATATAGTGCACGTACATTTCGGGCTCAATTTTTCTGACAATGCAGCAGGAAGGTTACATCACCGGTCAATACCAAGCTGTGTGCAGTATGTGGCATTCTACCTGCTGCAATTGCCGAGTGCAAGGCAGCGCAATGCTCCTTTAGAAATGTTTCACTTTTAAAATCTATGCCCAGAGTGATGAGGGCCTTTCTTCGCCATCTCGTCACAATGACCTAGGCCAGGTTGATGAAGGAAGGAGTGGTTTAGGGGCAGGTTCACATATCGCCACTGATGGTAGCCTTGGCCAGGAATCAAACTCGCAGCACCGGAATCAGAAAGCGGTTCGCGAGCCACCGTGTCATCGCTCCACTTGTGTCCGGTAGCGTGCACCACGTACACTGTGTGCTGTGTGTGCCACACGTGCGTTTAAACAACAAAAAATAAGCATACCCATTGCCTCCTTTGCATCTGTCCCTCTGCACGAAATATTAAGAGTAATTTAGACACCTCCTGTCAGCCCCCACAGCCTTCTGGGAGTGCATTATTTGAACAAGATCGTTTCAACACAAGCAAATTGGACTGTTGTTGACATTTAATGTCTCCTGAGCAGTCGGGCTGGCTTGAACCAATGCTGGTGACCGGTTAGGTGTGTACTGTATCGGGAATTTGTTTTGGTTTGGATATTCACCGACAACATTAATGATTATTTTATTTATGTTTGTGGCTCATCCAATTAGCACCCCGCACCTCCGATGAGCACGGTTGGCTACGTACGGTGCGAAAGCTGTTCAAAATAACGTCCATATGTTCGTATGCACACAGGAAATTATAACATGTTCCGCACCGAAAAAATGCCGGTAGCATTTTGGGACAATGGCTCTTCGTCATAGCCCTAGAAAAGGTACCTTGAAAAATGTTGATGTAATACGAAGAAAGGGCATTATTGCCCTAAGACATTTCCCATGATATACTTCTTTTAAGGGCTCCGTGTTGTCATTGGCGAATGTGTTTTTTCGTGAAAGTGCACCATTGCACACACAGGATCACCAAATAATTCATTATAAAAAAATAACCTGCTTTCCTTTGTTACCCAGGCATCTCGCTGAAATCTCAATGGGCCCTGGCCTAGTAAAACAAAGCACACTTAGCAGTGTAGTATGTATATATATGTATGCACCGCCTGTCTGCTCGAACACATGCACACAAATCATACCTGTGCACCAGCAACTCTACTTTTCTGCGCCGCATGAATCATTTACTGCAAGACAGGCATTTAGATTGCATTGCTGTAATGATTTTGCTTTACCCAGGAAAGCTTCGCTTGAGTCTCATTACTGTTTTTTCAGCAGGGCCCTGCCAAGTTTTTGCAGTCGGGGGGGGGGGGGGGCAATGATTGCCACGAATAATCACAATTGAGTAATCTGCGGTGCTACTCTTTAAATGTGGACCATAACGCCGGCAGTCAAGGATAAATGATCCGCGTCCTCGCCTTCGAAGCGCTTTGCATTGCGACGTCACACACACACGGCACACTTCTGCGACTCCATCCCATCAAGCGCTGCATTGATCGGTTTGGGAATCCATCAGCGCTGGGCGCGGTCCAGGGCACTCACCCTCGTGTGGTGGCCAACGCGGGGTCGCTTCGAACCGTGTGGTGGGGGAACAAAGCGGCCGCCTCTGTCGCGTTGTGCACCACCACATACGGGTCGCCAAATCGTGGAGCGGGTGGGCACGTGACCGAGCCGGGGATTGAGGTACAGAAAAAAAAATAATTAAAGGTGCAGCCCTGCAATGAATTGCGAATGCCATTCCTGGTAAAAAAAAAACATCTGAACTTGATGGATCTCTAGAGGAAGCCGCGACCGCGTGTTGTGCCCGACTCTTTCACGCCAGCCAGATGTATTTTGAAAGGGGATGGGAGTAGCGACACTTTATCCCACCACACGCAACCTTTCAGTCGACTGTGGTGTACCCATTAATACTGCCGGGTGGACAGAGGCGGGTGGCTACGGATAACTGCCACGCCAGGAGATCAAACCGGCGACCTCTGATTTGTAAGTCGAGTGTGAAGAACACAACGCCAGGGGCAATGACATAACACCGCTGGCATAAATCTGAATGCAAGGAATGCATATTGGCTGCCCCTTTCCAAATGCCCTCGTCTTCAATCCACTTGCGCCTGGGTCCACTCTGCTCCGTGGATCCCGCTGCAATTGCGCTGGTCCTCTTACTTCGTAGCGACGAAACTGGTGGCGTGGTACTCAGCCGTGGCAGACAGTCTCGCTGTAGCCTCGGGAAGCTGAGGTCACATTCGCAGATGGCATAAGCAGCTGCTGTCAAAGACTTGTGTGATGCATCTTTTTCAGTGCCAGCCAGCTTGCATGGATCTGGAATGATTTGTGTGTGTGTGTGTGTTCATTAGACACAGGTCTCGTGGGGAAATATTTCCCGCACCTCAGCCCCAGAAAATATAAAATTTAGCCCTGCGCGTTACCACATCGCCCGAAATGCGGCCAGTCCCCCCAGGGCCATTGCCTAAATGTCACCTATTATAGACATTTCCTTTCAAGGCCACAGTGTTATTGACGAATGTGTTGAGTTGTTTTTTTATATAGTTGAGCACTGTGAGTAATTGGTAAGCAGAGTTCATGAGATGCGTGGTAGTTAAGAGATGGCAATACAGCACTGGAAGCTTGACTCGATCAGTGCAGATTTTGGAGTGCTACCCAAGATCGATTGTGCGTGGGTTTTCTCCGGGCACGCTGGTTTTCTCCCACGCGTCACTCAATGAAACCCTTCTGAACGCTCTTAAAAAAGAGTCTTGAGGTTCCGTGTTGTTGAAAAAAAGAAATCAATGGCGTTGCACGCTGTGCTGTACATATGACTTGAATCGTGTATTTGCATCCTGTACAGGTGTTGAACAAACCACGTACACACACGCACCCATATTATGTGCTCTACATGGGGTCTGAATGAATTCGCGTTTGCGTGTGCATTCCACATGAGTCTTGCGGTGTTTCCAACACAGCAATGCGATGTGATTGCTATACACGAGTGTCGAATGAATGGTGTGTGTCTTTGGGATGGGAAGCGGCAGTGTAGCAGTTATCACGCTGCACTACAAACTCGTCGACCCGAGTTCGATTCCCTCTCAATGCCAAAACCAGCGACGATTTCATCTGAACCGATCCTGGGCCTCCCCTACGTCGACTCAGCCTTAAATGAGCACCTGGAGTGGTGTGCAAACATTGCCACTCAGGAGACAAAGGCGGCCGGGCGTGGTGCTGGCCAAAACACTTCTCATGTGCCGTGCCAGCCTTCATAGGTGCTTCCTAAAGGCACCTGCCCCAACAGTCTGTTACAGGCTATACGGGGAATCTTTGTCTTTGTGGTATACACATGGGTCTGGTATCGTGTATGCGCATATATGAGGTACATGTGTTTTTTTGTATATATAAATTGTACTTGTGTAGAGAGATTGTATGTGTCTACACCACATGGGTTTTTAATAAACGGTGTGTGTGTGTGCGTATAGCGCTTTGGTTATCCAACTGGGCGTTGCACCCGATGACCTGATTATCACTCACTACCAACTTGAGTGGCTAATATCTGAACCAGCCCTGCACCTACCTTTGGTCGACACTGCCTCGAATGAGTAGCTGTCAATTTTTTTCTAAGCATCACCACTGGTGAGATAAAGGCGGCCGGGGTGGTGCTGTCCACACTAACCCCTCGTGTGCCATGCAGACCTTCATAGGCGCGCTCGCTAATGCCACTTGCCCTAATAGTTAAGGAGATTGTATAAAACACATGCGCACATATACGTGGGCCTTGAATAAATTGTGTAGGTATGTATACTACTGTACTGTATAAGTGTCTTATATTTTGACTGTTTATGTGGACCATTTCAGTGTGTCTGCCATATATAGCGACGCTTGTGTTCACCCACGAGCATTAACCGGGCGTTAATTTTCCGCTCACGAGATCTTTCCCCCACCTGTCCTGACAACAGAAGCATTCGTGCGTGCATCGCGACGAAGCGTCACGTCGTGACGCTGTTTTGTTGTTGCGGCATCTTGGAGATGACGCTAAAGAAAGCCTCTCCGAGTTGGGCCTCGCCTGTGCGATTAAAGCACAATTTGAGTTTTATTATTGTACCAGGTCAGGCCCACTGAGCTACGTAGCTCTTTTTTTCAGAAGCGACTTGGGCCACAAATGACAGCTCAACGAAGTGGTTCATCGCGTGGAAATGCAAAGCAGCCAAATCCTCTAAACGCGTGTTTATAAACGCGGAGGGGAAAACCGGAGGACTCGGGAGGAAAATCCCGACGACCACGCGGAGAGAGACGCAGACTCGAAATACCCAGCAGCAGGCGTCAGGGTCGGAATGGAACCCACGACCTCCTGTACGCCAGGCGAGGTAACTAACATCTCCTAGCCAGCGTGGCGCCCCAGGAGGTGAAGCACAAGAATCCTGTCCGAGTGGCGCGCCTCACCTCTGCTCGCCGCCGTTTCGTGGGTCTGGGAACGCAAAGCGGTTGGGCTCGGTGCCGCTGCAGACAGTCGCGGTGCCACGGAGTGATTGGGGGACCCCAAGCAGAAATACATTTTGGTGCGCCACACGACTGCACACATATCCTGGGAAAAGGCACGTACATTAATGACGTCACAGTTGTGTGACATTATTATATCACTAGACGAATTACATTTGTTTTAATAGTGTTATTTGAATGACCAGATTTTTTTTCTATTTTATAAGGCTCTGAGTTCGATTTGGTGTATCCAACTATATATATTTATCA